AAAAAATTAAATAATCCATTTTAAGAAGTAGAAATTTTGAGATGTTTCTTCTGTCGATTATAAATGATATTGGGTCCCGTTTCGAATTCTTCTTTCTCGCATCCCTTATTTATAGCACCGTCTACCCTGGCAGTACTGGGGGCCGAATTATTTCCAAGATTGAATCAAATCGAAGTAATCGTATCACCGAAACGGCAAATTGATTACAGTAGAGGGGGGTCGCATGTGATTTATGTTTTGTCCAGGTAGGAATGCTAATGGTCGCTGCACTGATTCACCATGGGAACAGGCCGGGTGTGTTTCTACATTAATTTTTCCACTTAACCCAGCTCAACATTAATCTCCCGTATTCGTTAGGTTGCAGTTTTTCGGTGTTTCCATTTCTTTTTTCTTCTTTGTCGGCGGCGTGGGGTTTGATTGCGTTTAATGACGAAGCGAAACGGAGATCCTCGGGCTAATTGTTTAATTAAGAAAACTAAATATTTAAAGTTCAACCAGTTCATTGTTGGCTTGTTTGTTAGTTTAAGATGAATTTACAGTTTAATTTGAACAACCTGGTTTGCATATCCTCGCCTGTTTATGATTCGAACGCGTTTTGGAATATGGTTTTGTTCAGCAGCAAATGGTCTATGTGTTGATTTGGGTCCTATTATAAATTGAAAATTTTGAAGAAGAAAAAAATGATCTTCGAGCTTTGTTTATATAGTATTTAATGAGTTTCCCATTTTTGTTCTTTTCAGACCTTGTGTTATTCCATTTCTTTTAATAAATAAATTCTACATCTTTTTTTCGATATTTCATTAGAAGTATGTTCGTAAATATTGTTAAATAGTTTATTTATATTCATATTATAAATCTAATAAATCTTAGAAATCACAGCGATGTCTTACTACCGAACAATCATATTATTTTTTAATTGATTCAGTTGAATTATATATCGTAGGACTTACAAATTGGATATGACAGTTTCTTAATCCTTATAATCTATTCTTTATTTTCTCTTTTCTCATAAAAAATATAATATAATTAGAATAAGAACACTATTGAATTACATACACTCGGCGTAAAATAGATCAAAACTATAGTAAAGAAATAATAAAAGATAATAGGGAAGATAGCATAAAAAAGATTATAAGAATTATGAAATAGAGATTCTTTTCTGCCTTATCCTAATGTGTGACGTCATATTGCTCAGAAAGCTAAAGATATTTTCTAGAAAATATTGGTCAGCATCATAAAGTGTCAAATCCAAGGCTGAGAAAGAGAGAGTATCCGAGAGAGTAAGAGAGAGAGAGAGAGCGAGAGAGAGAGGGAGGGAGAGAGAGAGAGAGAGAGAGAGGGATTGAAATTGAGAGAGTGAGAGATTGAAAGAGGGGGAGAGGGATTGAGAGAGAGATTGAGATGAGAGAGAGAGAGATTGAGAGAGGGAGAGAGAGATTGAGGGAGGATAGAGAGATTTAGAGACAGAGAGATGGAGAGAGAGAGGGTAGAGAGAGAGAGAGAGATTGAGGGAGGATAGAGAGATTTAGAGACAGAGAGATGGAGAGAGAGAGAGAGAGATTGAGGGAGGATAGAGAGATTTAGAGACAGAGAGATGGAGAGAGAGAGGGAGAGAGAGAGAGAGATTGAGGGAGGATAGAGAGATTTAGAGACAGAGAGATGGAGAGAGAGAGAGAGAGGGTAGAGAGAGAGAGAGAGATTGAGAGAGGGAGAGAGAGAGAGTAAAAACATACTGAATTACAGGTTATGAGGCAAATAATAAATCTGCGATGATCGCGAACGTTGCCGTAATTGTGGAAATGAAAATGATTTTGTCACGATAACTTTTAATATATTTGCTTGCATTGATTTTACAACTGTGGGATTGTTCTTGGAACCAGCCCTTCGAGAGACCGAAATTAATTCTAGCCACATACGGGGTCACATATGCGGTCATAATTTAACGTTTGTTCTCTTTTGAGGTTCTAATAGTATTATAAACAGATTTGTTTACGGATCGAAAAGCTTTGGCGTTCCCTCTTTTGACCCTGGGTAGCAAATTGCCAACGAGTGACCCGGAAAAACGTTTCGAGTTTAACTCGCGACAAAAATCCACTTAGGGCCTTTGTGATTCGACTGTCCGCTTTCCGGTAATCTTGTCTCGAAATTAGACGATTTCGTGTCCAAAATCCGTGCTTAATCATACAAAAAACATAACACGCCGTGAGGCTCGGCCCTTCTCCTCCCGGTATTGTTATCAAGAGCCAGAGATGGAGAGATGAAAATATATCCCCAGAGGAGAGCGCGAATGGTCTCCTTCTACCGGAACCGCGCGGAAGAGACGGACCGGAAGATCCCCAGGGTCCAAGAGGAAGTCCGGCAAGGGCTACATAAATTCCCTCATGAAAGACTCTGACGGCGAGAAAGAATTAGGTGAGGTTTTTATGGCCGGCGATGTCTGCCTTACCCGACCGACCTCATCCTCTCTATCTCATGCACAACTCGTAAAGTACGTCATTTTTACTTCCCACTTTATCATCCGAAACCTACATAAAAATTGTTTAAAATTTAGCCTACAGTATATATAGGACTAAGTTTTGCGCACGAAACGTACTCTTACCGGTAAAATTATGAGTCTTAAGACTTGCAATTTGTCGTGTATAATACACGAGACAAAACAATGTACTTTTAACTTTTAAAAAATACGAAAAAATAATAAACGCTTATTAAACATAAATAAAAGCTTTTTCTTTACTTTAGAGGATAATAAACCTACTTTTAAATGGTTTTAGAGAGTCAACATAGCTTAACAGTTACAAGTTTCCGTGTACTTGACAAGTTTTCAAAAACAACGACAACCCGAGGGTTCCTATCGAAAAAATTTATTATATTCATAATGTCATCAATGCTTGATTACTAAATTAAAATTATTAATCATCTTTAAAAACCTTTTAGTACTTGAGGTAATACAATTTGATTATTTGTTCATATGAATAGTCTGGAAGAAAATTCAAAATTTTTGCTTGTGGCAACAGTACTACCTAAAGCCATGAAACCTTTTTTGGTGATACTAGTTTGAGATTACGACCACTTACTGTCTTAGTAGACCATGAACATGTGTTTAAGTAACATGATGGATGTCTCTTTCTTTCTATGCAACATTTTAATACAATTTGAACAAAAACTTTTTCAAAAAGTAGCCTAGTCTCTGGAAGTCCTGCATTAAGTTCTCTACTACTGGAGAGGCATCGATTAGCGTAGTCATTCGTAAATCAGCATGGGAACAATGGGGGGTTTTTCTTTTCACAAATGATTGCCGGTTTGATTTGTGGCAGTCTGATGACTAGGAAAAGACTTGGGGAACGCTTTCCTTCACGCGAGAGTCACAGCCTTTTCAAAGAGTCAGTTACGGTATGGGATGGAACCAACCTTCACGCCCGTACCGAATATAGAGAATAGATCATTGACTGCATTAAGGTACATTGAGGAAGTTCTTCAGGAAGCTGAGGTCCCATTCGCTCCACTTATTGGGACAACTTCGTGTTAATGCATGATAATGCTCGACCGCATGAAGTTCGTGCTGTCACCCATTACTTGGGGGATGTAGAGATTACAGCACTTACATAAATCTTACAGAACACTTACGGTATATGATAAAGAGAAGGGTTAGACATCATTCGCCTCCAACAAGCGTTGAACAGCATCAAATCGAACCATAACCAAGACGAACTCTAACCATCCCTAACTAATCTGATCGCTTATTTATTCGTAATCCTACGAGACTTGAGGCTCTCCGCGAGGGCATAGGAGGTAATACGCGTTATTGAGAGCAAAACCAGATTGACTGTTAATTAAATTTGAATCAATCAGTAAATAATTGTCCAATGTTTCGGTGAATGTTTTTTAAACCATCACAATTAAATAATTTTTATTAAAACTTTAAATTTCTGATCTTGTTTAATTTGGTTTACATTAAAATATGAATGCTGTAATTAACGAGTAACGATGTAAGCAACGTATGACGATAGTTTAATAGATACAACAAAATACGAGAGACAAGGATTTATTTTTAGGGTTTATACGGTATAAAATAACATTGAAGAATATGATTATTTGGAGATCGTGAGTTGCGGTCTGGTGTGACGTAGGTTTCAGAAAAACATTTTCTTTATCATGCCAACGTTTCGACCTTCATTGAGATCATCTTCAGGGCCTGGGATTTATAAACATTGTTTAAATTTTACAAATACATTCTCATTTTCACATCCTACATTATTTGTAAAATTTAAACAATGTTTATAAATCCACGCCCTGAAGGTGATCTCAATAAAGGTCGAAACGTTGGCATAATAAAGAAAATGTTTTTTCTAAAACCTACCTCACACCAGACCGCACCTCACGATCTCCAAATATTCATTGGCTAACTGTCACTTAACACGACACACTTGAAGAATATGCACAACAAAGGTAGAGAAACATATATTAAAAACTAGTTAAATTGGCTAAAATATCAGGGTACAAATCCATTGGTAAGAACGCAAGTCGTTAGCCATCCGTTGAGCGCCGTACTTCATTGTTTAACTGAATCTTCAAAAACTTTAATAAATAATGTAAAAAATGCTCAAGAGAAGAAAATTATACATTGTTTCATGTAATCAATAATCAGATAAAAATATGATAAGCTGACGTTTTTGAATTTTTTTTTTGGGGGGGGGGCTTGGCAAAAGCGAAAAAAAACACAAAACATTATATTTGATTACTTTAGGATTTTTTTTTAGCTTTTGCCTATGCCTAAAACATTAAAAAGTTGTATTGTCGAGTATTATACGTAAAACATATTTTGTATCGTAACCAACGAACATTTCTAATTTTATGACTTCTAATTAAATTATAAGTTGAATTAAAGTTCTTTTTTAAATAAAACTACAAAAAAATTCAATTAGTATTGTAAAAGTTCTAATTGAATCAATTAGAGTCAGTGGAAATATTTAATACGCGTATAAATATGATGTAATACTTACCTAGTGTGTACTTGTAAAAAAGTCCCACAGGAAAATTTCGTTTAGTTATATCACGACGAAAGAAATGAAAGCTTTTCCAATTGCGTCATCGTGACATGCCAGAAGCTTCTGAAAGAAAGACAAACAACATATCAAAAACTCACAATTTCAAAATGTTTTTTTAAAGTATATCAATATATAGATGAAGAAGAAATCGACCACGACGGGTGTAGAGTTCATGTAGAGAAAGAAGTAGACTCTGTGATCACTTGCCAAGCTTTCGGCTTTTACAAGACCATCATCAGGGCCTGAATAAATATTACGACATTACATGATTTCATTAATTACAAGTTATTGTCATAGTTATCACTATTTTTGTGATTGTAGAAAAACACGAAAGGGAAATTCGAGCTATCTATTGAAATACAATAATTATTAATAATAATACATAATTATTTTGTGACCGAGTAACGTAGGAAAGCAGGTTAATTAAAAAAATAATCAAGATAGAACTTTAAGTCTATACTTTCACCGCGAAAATCAACTACAATTTTTGTTTTTAATTTTATTTACTCATTTTAATTAACAAACCTGAATTCCAATTTTCCCCAAAGTAGTGATAGCTTTGAAACGAATCCAGCAATACAAATGAGAGTTAAAAGGGTTTAGAACCTGTACCCTACATTTAAACCTGTACCTTACGTAAACCTGGCCAACATAAAGAATAAGAAATGGTCATAAAAATAAAGCATTTGGGGAGCTTTTGTTGATTTTATCCTTACTTACCAAACTTATACTGACACAAAAACCAGGTGGTTGACAGTGTTTCAAACTAAACAAATGCAGATTTTCACTGATTTACCGTGGATAGATTCCGGAGGAGTTATGAAATTTAAGTAGAACACTGGACGTCAGGAAAAAATGCACCTTGCTGATGACGCCCTAAAATGTATATTTTTTATTCCTGGAAAACTCATATTAAATAATTTTAACAAGTGCTTAAAAAATCCGAACTGGTTTTAAACAATAATTTTTTATTACTAACTATAAACAAAAGAAAAGTTTCACTGAAGTCTATGATACCATGTCTATATTCTCCCTTTGTAAGATTTGACTTATTACAGAAATCACCAAAATTAATTTCACAGACTAACGATTTCTTATTTATTAGGGTTCGTTTTTTACATTAATAGTTCTGAATTTTTGTTTTCGTTTATACTCCATTGATTATATCCAAAAGTAATTAAAAGCTGAAGCTATTATCGTAGTTCGCGTGGAATTTTCCATCGAGCCAGTATTACTTTGTTATTAACTTACAACGCTGTCCGAGTGATTTGCGCGAGTCGGTAAAACAAACCGATTTTTAGCCCAGGGGCATAAAATAAATTAATTACACAAACGACGTTGGAGGGATGGACGATAGTTAATGGTTTTCGCCGCTCCTCCCGACTTATAGCTCGTAAAATACTGTCATCGTTTATGATTGGCATTAATCCTCTTGTTTATTACTCCCGGTGTTATAACCGAAAACAAATACGTCAAGTATAAATCTTTGGCTTGCCGATAACAGCAAAAGCTTCCACGGCGTGGTACAACTCTTGCATACCCGCGCGTTAATAACGGCAATGTGAGCTAGTAAACTATTTATGATTGGAAAAGCCATATTTCATATGGGCTTAAGATTGTTTTTTTTTAAGTTGTTAAATAGTGTTTAGATTAGCATGAGATTATTATATTAGTAAATCAATGTTTTGTAATTGAAACTACAGTATATTCAAGTTAAACTGTCATCTTTGATAATTAATGTATCAGTTTATAGAAAAGGCTCGGTCAAGTGGAAAACGTCGTAAGAATGTTCATAAATAATTTAAATTTCTGGTGTAAAAAGTTGGTAAGGCCCGTGCCAGGACCAGCGGACCGTGTTCCCGGATAGTTTTTCAACAACCGAGAAATCAGTTCGTAATCCTCACGTCCATAGCTAGCCCACTATGGTCTAGTTAACGGTCGAGCAATTACATTACACGTTCGTTGTTGTTTTTTTCCGACCTTGAAACCAGCAAATATTAGGTGGATTGAAAAGCGTAAAATATGGAACCGAAAATGCAAGTGTAAAGGTGTTGTGCACAATTCTCTGATTAGTTGGAGATCGTGAGATCCGGTCTGGTGTGACGTGGGTTTTAGAAAAACATTTTCTTTATCGTACCAACGTTTCGATCTTTATTGAGATCATCGTCAGGGGTCAAAGTGTTTGGTTACTGTGTAGATGTGTCATTATTTTGTGTCATGTTGAGAATGCCTCATTAACTAACGGTCACTAAACACCACACAATTCTCAGTTATGGAATTTTCTAAATGAATTAGTATCATTTCTATTTTATTGGTATTTCCAGCATTTATGTAAAGATAAATAAAAGAAAGAAGAATTTTTTGTCTACATTCCAACATTTTCTAAATAAGCCTCTTTACTCAAAGCAAATACAGGGAAAACAAAATAATTTCTCTTCTAGCCAGTATTACAATCGCATAGTCTATAGTATTGTGTAATGTATATTTGGGCGTAGTAAATTATATTAAAATATATTTCGTGTATATTTGTGCTTTATATACATAATTATTCGGAATTCGTGAGGTGCGGTCTGGTGTGATGTACGTTTCAGAAAAAAAAAAACATTTTCTTAATCGTGCCAACGTTTCGATCTTTATTGAGATCATCTTCAGGGCCTGGGATTTACAAACACTTTGAGTGAGTAGAAATACTTTGATTGAATATAAAAAATATTTTTTTGTATTTTATAAATTCACTTTTTTCCACATCCTACATGTATTTGTTAAATTTAAACAATGTTTGTATATCCGAGGCGTTGACGAATGATCTCAATGAAGATCGAAACGTTGGCACGATAAAGAAAATGTTTTTCTGAATCCTACATCACACCAGACCGCACCTCACAATTGCCGAATAATCATCGACTAACGGTCACTAATCACCACACATTATATACATAATACAACATATAGAGAAAGGTGATCTTTAGGGTTTGCACGAAAAAATTTGAACAATATCTAGGAGAAATTTTTTAAGAACAATTAAAGTATAAGATTAATTTGCACAATGAGTAAAAACAAGGTTTAAATAATTCATAATTTAAATAAAAAATAACGAGATTTATCTTCTACTTCATTTTTTCAAAAACTCAGACATTATGCGAATTTGGAAAAAAAATTCAGTTTCATTGTCAAGCTTTCGAGAATATATCCCCCCTCATGATGACTTTAAAAAATATCTAATTATGATGGTTTGAAAGAAAATTCACTAAAACACCGGAAAAGTATTTAGAGATAGAATGTTTAAAAAAAATTAAATTTAACTAGGTTCATTTTTTATAATCCTCAGCGTGCCGGTTTGAAAAAAAAACTATTTGTAAGTATGTCGCGGCCCTGCATTCGAACCCGGGACCTTTTATCATGCATTGATTAGCGCCCTGTCAACGCCTAAACCGTTGCGGCCACCGACGCCCCCAAACTAAGTTTATTCAACCACTAAATGATTTTTTTTTTTTGTGAATTTTCTACAATTAAATAATTTTTGATAAAACATGAATATCTATCTCGTTCATCACGATCTGATCATAATACAACGTTGGGGTCGTCGGTGCCCGGTTGACACGGCGCTCAACACTGTTAGGTAAAGGTCCCGGGATCGAATCCAGCGGCCCTCCATCCGAACCCGACATACTTACAAATGGGCTTTTTTTTCAATAACATCGGCACCCTGAGGGTTTATATGACCACTGCTGTTGCGAACCTCGTAAAAAAAATTAAAAAAATACAACGTTAAAAATACATATGGTTTGAAATATTTTAACAAGATGAACTAACCTGGTTTGTGATAAGTATTTTGTAGTATTTTTGTTCCAAAGTAATAATCAGCGGAAAATTTTGGCAAGAATCAATTACAATTTCCAGTTAGAAAAAGTCAAGCATGAGAAAAACTGATAGGTGGCCAATGATTCCAAAATGAATCCTTATCAACAATAATTAATCAAAACACTTATCACGTTGCCATTTATCGGCAACGGGTAGATAACAAATTCTAAATTGAGCCAGTAATCATTGTAATGACGAATTAATTAGATTTTTGTTTAATAAGCTCGACGTTTATAAAAAATCTTTAACTTTTTGATGGTAAAAATTTGGTATTTGGTGTTTAAGTTTAAAGTTTTAAATTTTCTGTTTTGATGGCACGTGCATGTTTGCCCATGGCGCCCGGTGATCCAAATTGAAACTTAATAATCCTGAATATGGGCAGATGCAGTCCGGAAAATCTGCCCTCAATAAAAATCGAAACCGGTCCGACCCCCAAGCCCTTGAAATTCAAATCAGTTACGAAAGGGTTGGGATGGAATAGGGCCAGCCTCCTCTTCCTAATCGGCATGAGCAGGTGTGTGGGCGGCCGATCCAGGTGTATACGGACGCATTCATGAATGCTTGTGCATGGGAATGCGCGGACCGGAAGCCCTTGTTTCCTTCGTTTCGCGCACGCTATGCGACGCCCCCGAGGTTCAGATTCTCACACGTACATAAATTAGACCTGTTCCAAAACTAGATTTTCGGCCCGGGCCAAGGGCAGCAACGGTCCACACAATTTCTCTATTATTTGTCTTTCCAATGATGAAATAGTATTAGCCAATAAACCTGCTAACAAACTATAAAATTTTTCTTACATGAAAATAACGACAAGACCTACGAAAACAGAGTGGTTAAACGGACCGTAATGACAAAGGTATGATTATTAAATGGTACTTTTTTAAAATTCATTTGTTTCTGGATTTTTGAATAATAAAGGAAACATAGAATGTACATTATACAGCTCACTTTATCCCAACTATTACGTGGTCCTTCACCCCGTAGAGTATACTTCCCGAGTATACTTCAGGGGAGTTCATCTTCCCCGTTATGCCGGTTGGGCCGTTAGTATCCACTTGAGCCCGATGCTCTGATCATCGCTTCCTCACCAAGGACCTTTGACAGCTAGGTCATTTCAGCCCAAAAGCTTGCAAATTATAATATAATCTAAACTAACACATATGTACAATTGCACAAATAAATACATTCACACCTATACATTG